ACTAAGAGATTAAAATTCTAATTGACCTTCAATTTTATAACTTTTAACCATTAGGTGAAAATTTTTTTGCGTTGAAAGTTGTGAAATTTCTGTTATATAGCTGTGTTAACCCAAAAAGAAAAAGTTCACTATAGTTTTAGCTATTAATTAAAAAATTCCTATTTTAAAAATTAGTGAAATTTCACTTCGCCATGGAGTCACCAGAACAATGTCATCAAAAACTGACGGTGGTCACTAGCGATCGGAGGTGGTGGTCGGAAATGGCAATGGCAATGGCAATGGCAGTAGCAGTGACATTGACAGTGACAGTGATAGTGGGTAGTAGAAAGAGGTGGAATAATGAAATTAAAGTTAAGGGCAATTTCATCCAAAAAAAAGTTAGTATCCTTAAACTAACAAACAGATTTTAATTGTCCTTAATCAAAATATTTTTTAAGGAGCTAAATACTTTAGAAACCACTTATTTAAACTAATAAAAATTAAAGTTAGGGCATCACGTATGTCCTTACACTAGCAACACTAAGGAGTGACTTGGAGTTTGCTTAATCAACCCCTTACCTTATGACATAGTCAAAAGTCACAAAAGGGTACATAAATGAAAGTCATATCAATAATGACACGTAAGACTCACACGGTGAGAAAGCAGAAAGTCACAAAATGGTACATAAATGAAAGTCATATCAATAATGACTTGTAAGACTCACACGGTGAGAAAGCAGGGATCCATTCTCTCACCTCATTACTCGGTCGCTAAGCACATATAGTATGAATAAATGTTACGGTGGAGTAACTCTTCCATAAAGAGTGACGTCATACTCGATACACCGTACAGATATTAGTCTAGTCGCTTTCTAGCGCCTAACCCGAATTCTCTATTTGCTCGCCTTCTAGGCGCCAAATGAGATCTCGCATCTGGCTAATCATAACAGGCACAACATGGAAAGTGGGTACTAACATCCATGTTTGGTCTTTAACATGACCTCATCTTGGTTATAACCAAGGCGACATACATAGTGGATAATTTAAGCCTCTCTTGGCTCCAAATAAAAATAAACCACCAGTCTCATCCTTGTTCGCTCCCAAACGCCAAGGGCGATTGCTCGTGTGAGTGAGCCAATCTTGCCTGCTGACATCATCATTTCCTAATCATTATGACACAAACCATGATAGTGTCAACATCCCATCATCTCAAAATAAATGATCGATTTAAAAAAAATTGACCACAGCTTGCGCAATTATAGATTCCAAACATAAGCCTTATCAGCACCTCTTGTGATAAGTATATGCAACGGAATCCACCATGTGCGCCTCATATGAAGTAATTTAAGATCACTACCTCTTGCGCAATAACCTCTCTAAAGATATTTTGGTGACCAATTTGCGTTCATTCTTAATGCGCCCAACTAACATAGATGCGCCCAACTAGCGCATTGAATCTTACAAGGAGCAAACTAATATGCTTCTAATAGAGCATTTTATTTAAGATCACTATCTCTTGCGCAATAACCTCTCTAAAGATATTTTTGGTGACCAATTTGCGTTCATTCTTAATGCGCCCAACCAGCGCAGATACGCCCAACTAGCGCATTGAATCTTATAAGGAGCAAATTAATATGCTACTAGTAAAGCATATTATCCACAATCTAATGAGCATGGTCAATGTCTGAACAACTCAGTTGACCATTTACCAAAGATAACACTTATCATGCCGAATATGCCCACATAGCGTCCTTTAGGCTCCCACAACAAAGAAAAAATCAAGGAATATAAGTCATCTGTTTCTCTCGAAGACAATCCGAGGATTCACTCAATAGCTAAGGCTTTGGCTTTTACCAATAGGTAAATCAATGGGTTTGCAATTTTGTATCTAGAATCGTTTTAGGATATTCCTTATGTAAGTCATTGAAGACAAAACAGGAATTCTCCCAAAACAATCCCTAAGGATCGTATATCCGAGCATATAAATTACATCACCCATATCCATCATATCTAAAATAGAGGACTGGCCACTGTAATAACCCTCACCACTGCCTACCGATAAACACTGCTTACCGTTAAATTAAACTGATCATGACTGATAATTAAACTGATTAAAAGTACTGAACTGACTGACCGAAATTGAAACTGAATTGAATGAATACATCTGTTTGAATTGCATTTTATCTGTTGACTGTTTGTTTGATCTGTTCATGTCTTATGTTTAAACTGCTAATTAAAGGCCTTATCGGCGGCCGAATCCGGAAGTGATTGATGTTTTATGATCATCATGATTAATGTGATTTTGTGGTATAATTATCTGAAAACTGATTAGGTATGATTAAAAATAAGCTAATTAAAGAGTTGGCCTTATTTACCAAACTAACCCTTAAGTGGCCCACTCAAAATAACATATTTGAGCCTTATGTTACACTTAAGCACACAATTCATCAGCCATTTTCTTGCTCTTGCCGACTATAGAGAGAAAGGAACTAGAGGAGTGAATTTCATCTCATTTTGCTTATAAATTGCTTGGTAATTGAAGGAATTGGAACATAGGTTGCAAATTAAGCTTCCTCACCTTGTAACTAAAGTTCTAGGTAAGGAATTCAACCCCTCTTTATTGTGTTTAAGCTTATTCATGCAAGATTCTTGAGCCTCTAGTGATTCAAGTCTAGAATTGGTTCTTTGGTGTTGAATTAGAGCATAATTCATGCATGCATGTTAGTGTTGTTGGAGTTTGAGTTGAGTTCATGGCAAAATGTTGCATGCATGTTCACAATTATGTTCAAGTCCATGATTTCATCATGTTTTGGAAACAATTGGCTCCTTAGAGCATCAAATTGAAGCTTTGAATTGGTTTGAATTCATGCATGAACAAGTGTTAAGCATCTTCTTTGGTTTAACCAACCTGTAGATTGCTACAAGTGTTTAGCAATAACCTC